CTCCAGGCAGTCGGTGTTGCGGCAGGAGCAGCGCTCCGCGGGGTCCCGCGGCCCCGCCATGGCCGAGGCGGGGGCACGGGCTGCCGGCGGCAGCTCCTCGCCGCGGGCGCGTCCCACGCCGGGGGCTGCCGGTGTGGGCTCTCTGAGGAGAGGAGAGGGAGAGGAACGGGAGACGAGTGGAGATAAATGGGGAGCGGTCCGCTGTCCGCCGGGGCCGCGGATGGAACAAGCGGTATTTCAGCGGGCGGACCCGCCCTCACCGTGACTCAGCGGGGCTTCCGCCGCCTCCCCAGGACGGGCAGGCCAGGGGGCCGCGCAGACCCGGCTGCCCCCGACGTGCCCCGCCCCGTCTCGGATCCCGCCGGGTCCCCGGCTCCCCCCCGTGCTGAGCGCGACTTGGAGCCCGGCTCTGCCGCCGTGCGGACGCCCGGCACGGCCCCGCTTCTGCATGTCATCCGCTAGACCTCACCTCACAGACGTTTTTACTGTTTTCCCTGAGGCTGCTGCAGTCGTTAGTTAACCACTAAGGACTGTTCTTCCATCTGAGAGCAAAACACAGACACTGGTGATGTACATCTTGCCGTGTTTGCTCTCTCGGTAAACAGGTTTACAAAACAGGGGAATGAGAGCTGAAGGACTAAAAGACTTTGAAACAAGGGTTAGTGATTGCCATTGGTAAGTCACAAGAATATCACTGGTGTGATACACCAGAGCTTTGTGCAGTAGCAATGATAGAAAGGATCTTTCCAAGTCCGTAAAATAGCCTGCAGCCTGGTGTTCTTGACACTAGTAAGTGACAGTGATTTGAGTGGCTTCTGGCTGAGATGTGATGATTAAGCTCAGATGTGGCAGTGCTGGAGAGGTGTCCAGCCAGTGAGCTAATACGTCCCAGGCAGGCCCTTCTTCTCCTTGCCTTTCTTTGAAAGAAGCAACTTTCTCCTTCCCTGCCAGTACTTGCAAAGAAAAGTTGTAGGTATTTCTTCTCTCGCAACCTGAGCAGACAAGCTTGGCAGCTGTGGGCATAAAGCAGCCAGCCAGGCTCTGAGCAGCGTTCTATGTCTCCTACTGTGCTCAGCATTTAGGGCAGGTTGGATCCTGGTGAGTCCCTTTTCCATGCACAGGTGTTCTGCGACAGGTATGTCAGTTCTGAGTTTCTGTGTGGGAGATGGGCCCTTAGAAGCTATTTCCTGTAGCTTCTAACTTGTCAAAACCTAGGAACTGTCCTGGTGGCAGGAGCTACCCAGTCAGGGTACTCAGTACACTGGGCATAAGTCATTGCCTTTAGGTTTAACTCCAAGGCTTGGGGATCTGATCTAGGGCATGGGGAAGATGGCTTCACCAACTCTCAATTCAGAATGGACTTCAAGCAAGTAGTATGTGGCAGTCTTCTCCCAGAATCTGGATTCTTGTCCTTGTTCCCTGGCCTATTCATGCATATTAATTTCTAATAAGATGAAATCTGGAACACTTCTTGGGGCAGGGCCAGCAGCTGGTCACGTGACTTCTAGCGAGTCAAGCTTTCTGGTAGTTTTTGAATGAAGGCACAACCTCTGTCCTGATTGTTATGTTGCATTTTCTGGAAGTTTCAAAGTGGGATTCCAGTGAATTACTGTTTGGACATATTGCCCTGTAAATAGATACTCACAGTGCCACACTGTGTGTTTCCCAGTGCTAAAGAAATGGTGATGAGGAAAGCTGAGCAGAAGCCCAAAATATATGAGGCTGATGTGTATGTCTCAAACACCGATAGCCAGGTGGCTGTGCAGGCAACCAAGGATTGTTGGTAATAACCAAGGATTGTTGGTAATAACCAAGGATTGTTGATAATAACATGCTGTGAGAAAGAATAACATGTGGCTGCAGAAGAGGGCCATGCAGAGGTAGGGCAGCACTTTTCTGAGACAAACATCCTTGTTTTAGTTCCTGGAGATAAGCAAACACAGTACTGCACAAGCACAGGAATGAGGCCAAGAGGTGGGCATTGACTGTAGAGGGGTACCCCTAGGACCTACCTACCTACCTTCCTTCCTCCCTTCCTCCCTCTCTCCCTCCTTCCTCTCTTCCTCTTTCTTTCTTTGTCTCTTTCTCTCTTCTTTTTCTCTATCCCCCTCTTTAATTCATCTCTTTCTATCTTCTCTTTCACCTTGCCCCTTCATTCAAAACCCATTGCCATGTGTTTATATAGTAGGTCAGGGACTAATATACCAATTTCTGTGCCAAGTGTGTAATTTACTCTTAAAACTTTGTGATTTTTTGCAGACCCTCTGACATTTGTTGTTCCTTTCGACCATGAGCATTTACAAATCTTGGGTGCTCCTGGCCCTTAAGGGAGGGACGGCACATTTTTGGTATCATGGACAGGATGCCATGGTTGAAGGGGTCCGTTCAGGATGTCATCATTCTACCCTTGAGTTCTGGGCAGGGAGTGCTGGGATGTGATCCTGTTAAGAGCCAGGAGGCATCTGAGCAGCTATAAGCCAAGACTGCGTAGGAAATATCAGTGCTTGACTGTTCCCTGATTTTGGAAAAGTTGAGAGAATATAATGTGTGCCTGACTCCCTCGGGCATGGAATGGGCAAATGGAGATTTGTATAGGCCTGAAGCAGTGGTTAAATCAATAAATGTGGTGTTAAGTGAACAAAAGGTACGAAAGGGGAAAGGTAAAGCAGTTTTCTGTGCAATTTTGAGAGTAGCTTAAAGTGCTGCCCAAAAGGAGAGGTATACCAACAAATGGGAAGAAGGAGAAATGTTTGGATCTCTGCAGGATTTGGTGAAAGGATTGCAGGATCAGTTAAGTGAGGAGAGAGGAAACAGGCTTTGGGAACAAGTGTTGCTTGCTGCTAAGTGCGATTGTGAAAGGGAATGTAGGCTGTGGGCAGAGGGCCTGTTTGCAGCTCAGCATGATCGTGAAGGGGAGACTAAGGTGCAGGCGGAGGCATTTCTTGCTGAGCACAGTTGGGAAAAGGAAAAGAGGCTGCAGGAGGAGGCATTGCTTGCTGCCAAGCATGATCATACTAGGATGCTTCAGGTGGATCTTTGGGATGCATATAAGAGAGTAAAATCTTATGGGAAGGATTGCAGGATTTAGCATCTGGACCATTTACAGAAATACTATCTCACAACTCTGCCTTTTTGTATCCAATGAATGAGTAAAACTATTATCCTGACAAAAAGTGACATGTTACGTTTGCATTCTAATCTGTTGATGAGGAAATAACATTACGACCCCTAATTAAAGCTGAAACCATAGACAATGGTCAGGGTCAGCAAACTGCTACTAAAATGGTGCCGTATACGGCAACCGAGATTTCAAAGTTCCAGGAAAAGTATAGCAGAGTTTTGTGGGAATCAGAAACTGAATATGTGCAGAGAGTGTCCCTGAGGGGTGGTGATTAAATCATGTCATCTGAGGCAGAGGCCCAAGGATTCTGGGGGACAGGAGTGTTTCTGGGGGTGGGTGCCAGAACCTCCTCTCTTCCACAGCAGGGCCCACTGACCAACACTGGGGCATTTGTGCCCTGCCCAGGAAGGCTTGCAGATGCAGACACGACATTGGTTGTGGCCTGAATGTTACAATAACTCCAGGGCTGAGCTGAAGAAACACCAGGGCAGGGAGAGCAAATGCAGCTTCTTCAAAAGTGACCTTTTGTATAGTGTTTAAAATTAAGAAAAATCATGTGCCTAGCTGGTAAGACTCCCTGCTTCACAGTCTTTTTGTTGGAAAGCTCTTTTTCATTTTGTCCCCTCAGCCTCCATTTCCGCCTACTTGGAACAGAACAGGGTCAGTCTCCTGCTCTGGACATGCCTCCCTGTCATCTCTGCTCACTTTATGGTAATATTTATTTATTTTGAAAGGGAAGGATCTCCTCAGTAATGCAGACACAAGCATCTTCTGGTTGGTCTCTGTGTTCTTGTGTCTTCCAAACCTTTACTGAGCCTGGAAGTGATTCCAACAGTTTTGTAGAATCATGGAATAACTCAGGTTGGAAAGATCCTCAGGCACTTGTGTCACCTGTGCCCTGCTCAGAGAAGGTCTGCTGTGGGTGTTGGGCCAGGTCACTTAGGGCTTTGCCCAGCTGAGTTTGGAATTGCCTCCAAGGGTGTGGATTCCAGAGCCTTTGGGCAACCTGCTGTAGTGTTTGACTACTTCACAGTGATTTGTCCCCTCATCATTGTCAACATTTTGGTAGAGGGGCTACAGGGGTGGCCTCTGTGAGGAGAGGCTGGAGCTGCCCTGAGCCAGTCACAGAATATGCCATCCAGATCCAAAGGACCCAACATAGGACACGTCTGGGCCCATCCTCAGGGGAGTCTATGGCACTTCTGGGAAAGTATCTTAAAGTGAGGGCGGTAAACACCAAGCAAAAGGAGAAACAAGGCCAGGGTAAGAGGAGAGAGGAGATGGGGGGGGGGGAATCAACACTGGAGCAGGAGGAGAGAAGAGAGAAGGGGACATCTGAGCAGGGGTGAGGGATGCAGCCTGGAGGAGCTGCTGTCAGTGAAGGAACCAGCACTCGTGTGCTGTCCCCAGTCTCTTGCACTGGCCACCGCCTCAGCAAAGGGGCTGAGCATGGCCTGGGGGTGAGGGGACTGAGGAGCAAAAAGGTCAGTGGGGGGAAGAGGTGTCAGAAGGGAAGCAGAGTTTTTTCCTGAGGGTTGGTTTTTTCAGTCTCCCTTGATACCAGAATCTGTAACTAATAGGTTGTTAATTGTCAAATAAATTCATGAAAATTCCCTGAAGGAGTAAACATTTTTTGTCTGTGACAATATCTTACTGGAATTTCTCTGATACAATTTGTGACAGTTGATTCTTTTCCTTTCCCAGGACGTCCCTGAGAGCAGCCCGGCTGTCTTACCTGTACCTTCCCATCACATGTCTGAAGACATCAAGAAGATGCTCCCCACCCTTG